ATTTCGTTACGCTTTTTACATATGCAAAAATTTGATTTTATTTATAGATTGCCCGATTTTATATTGGTTGGGTTAATGTATTTACTTAGAATTTGTTACTAAAACAAATGATTAAGCGTAAAAAGCGATGCTGTAGGTGATTCAACATATATTTACATTTAAAAAATTGTGAGAAAACATCCTAACTTGATAGACTTTTTTATAGAGCAATTTAATGACTGAGATTAACTTTTTATTTCGGACATAGCTCAAAATATGCGTTTAAGAAAATAAACATAATTTGAAATACGCGTTCGACAAATGTATGTAGTTTAAAAAACGCGTTTTTAAGAAAATGATAACATGTACAATTGGTAAAATAATGGATAAGATGGCCATAATTTAATCGCTACAAGAAACTTTTTATTTTGGACATAACCCTAAATATGCGTTTAAGAAAATAAACATAATTTGAAATCCGCGTTCGACAAATGTATGTAGTTCAAAAAACGCGTTTTTAAGAAAACGATAACATGTGCAATTGGTAAAATAATGAATAAGATGGGCATAAGTTAATCGCTACAAGAAACTTTTTATTTTGGACATAACCCTAAATATGCGTTTAAGAAAATAGACATAATTTGAAATACGCGATAGACAAATACGTGTAGTTAAAAAAACGCGTTTTTAAGAAAATTATAACATGTGCCATTGGTGAACTAATATCTAAAATGGTCATAAGTTAATGGCTACAAGAAACTTTTTATTTTGGACATAACCCTAAATATGCGTTTAAAAAATAGACATAATTTGAAATGCGTGATAGACAAATGTATGTAGTTCAAAAAACGCGTTTTTAAGAAAATGATAACATGTGCCATTGGTGAACTAATATCTAAAATGGTCATAAGTTAATGGCTACAAGAAACTTTTTATTTTGGATATAGCTCTAAATATGCGTTTAGGAAAATTGACTCAGTTCGAAATGTACGTTCGGAGAAATGTAGGTAGTACAAAAGACGCGGTTTTTAAAAATGATAACACGTGAAATTCTTAAATTACGCCAATAAAAAGGGCATAGCTTGAAAATGCGTGTATAAAAAATGGGCGTAACTTGAAATGCATGTTTTAAAAAATAGACGTTGCTTAAAAACCGCGTTAATGAAACTAGAGTTAGCACAAAATTGTGCAAGCATGAATTATTGACCATAAAAGAACCTCTAAATTTTTCGTGCTTTTTAAATTATGATATATTTTTTGACCTAATTTAGCTGAATGAATTCACCAACTATAATATTGCATTTTTGTTCTTTTAGTTTTCCGTTTTAAGACAGAAATTTTTTTCATAAAAAATGTTTCAAGTTACGTCCATTTTTTATACGCATTTCAAGCTATGTCTTTTTTTTTTTACTGGAGCATATTATCAATGGCACATATTATCATTCTCTTAAAAAAGTCCGATTTTTGTATTACATGCATTTTTTCGAACACATCATTTCAAACTATGTCTATTTTTTTCAACGATGTTTTCGTATTTTAGACTGAAATTTGGTCACATATACTATGACATTCTGTTTTTCGGAATTTTCTAACTTAGTTTTAAGATAATATTTGAAGCAATAATATTGAAAATTATAATTTTCTTTAAAATGCTGCTGATCTTTTGCTGGTTTCAAAATCATTCCATGCAAAATAAAACAAAAATTATTTCTCTACTTTATCCTAATTCTGAAGCAGCCGGAATAACAATTTTCAACTTATGTTGCCAAAAAATACGTAATTTGTTGTATGAAATTATTTTTAATATTTTGTTGATAATGAATTTTTTGATTGCGAAGCAGTGTAAAACATTTTATTCCCCTATGATTAAATTTTCGGAAAAAACTTTCGTTATCGGTTTTAATTTAATCTCGAATAAAACATAATTTACTTCATTTATTGTTCTTCATTCAGAATTTCTAAATTGTTTTTTGAACTTCTTATATTATATTTTAAAGGTATATTTTGATTTCAACAACCATTTTAGTTGCACGCTACTCCCTATTTTAATTTTGGGTGATTTAGAGTAGGTATTAAAAGTAAACACTAAAGTTCATATTATTTTTAAAAGAAAGTATATACTTACTCAAAACCATATTATGTATAAAATAAGACAATCGAATAAAAACGAATAATACAAACAATAGTCCTGTTAAGATTTTGTTGCTATTTTTATGGCATAAAGATGACATAGATTAGTAAATTAATTTTATTAATTAATTATATGTTTTAGGTAATTAATTAAAAAAAAATTTATTTTATTAATTTAATTAATCAATTTAGCTTATTTATTCAATTAATTAATTTACTTAATTATTTAGTTAATTGATTCGATAAAAATCGATTTTAACCACACACTCTTCTGTATTTATTCGACAGATTTGTTAAAAAAGAGTTTTCTCTCGTTTGATTTATATTCGTACTTATAACTTATTCGTATTTAATTTTGAAAACTGTGATATGAGTACGATAAATGTTGCATACACTAGAATAATATGTTATTAGATAAACAATAATGTACCAAATATAAAATTTCAAGACAGGCAGTTAACAGTTTTTTTTAATTCTTCTGCATAGTTTCTGGTAAAATTAAGAAACTCTTTCGAGCTTGTTTATAATCCATTGCTATTTTTTTTGTTTGTCATTAAGCAAACACATTTTAATTTATGTTTTTTAATAGCTAATTTTTACTTGGAATTAATTATTTTTTTTAAAATGATATTAACCATTTTACTCTTGACAAATAACAATCTTATGAAATGTAAAAATGAAGTTTACATTAAACTTTCGTTTTAAGATTCACAGCAGTTTTTCATGAAAAACACGAAGTATGAAATTTAATATCGAAATTTTGAAATGAAACAGATTTTAACTTTAATACTTTTTGTTAGTCAAAAGAAACAATACTTTGATTTTTTTAAAGCAAATTGAAAATTAATTTATAATTAAAAATGCACTGATTTTAAAGGAAGACATAAAAAAAAAATTTTTTTTGTTAATTAAATTTGTGTTTTTGAATGCAATAACATTTTGCTATAAAAAAAGACGACATTTTAAAAAGATTTAGATTCTGAATTCATTTTAAAACAATTAGTTTTGTTCATATATGAAAACAGTAATGCGAAATTTGTAATTAAATTTGTATCTTTTCAAATGCTTTAAATTCATTAGTTTTTAAAATTCATCAGTAACTATAGCACAAAATTTAAAAAATAACGCCGAAATAAAAAAAATTTCAGAATTATTAATTTTTTTTCCATCAGTGAAAAATTAAATTCAAATTTAAATTTGTAGGGCATTAAATTAAAATGTTTGAAATTCATAAATGTCTATAACACGAAGTTTAAAAAAGAATATGGAAATTAAATTTGCTTCATAAATCATTTCTTTTTCTTTTCCATTCATGAGAGACGATATTTCAATTTAAATTTTTATCGCATCAAATTCAATATTTCTTAAAATTCATAAATGTCCATAACACGTAAAAATTAAATTTGTTTTTAAAAATCATCACTTTTTCCATTAATGAAAAAAGGCATTAGAATTTAAATTTGTATCGCATCAAATTCACTATTTTTTTTAAATTCATAAATGACTATAACACGAAGTTTAAAAAAGAATATGGAAATTAAATTTGCTTCATAAACCATTTTTTTTTCCTTTTTTCATGAGAGACGGAATTTAAATTTAAATTTTTATTGCATCAAATTCAATATTTCTTAAAATTCATAAATAGCTAAAACGTGTAAAAATTAAATTGTTTTTAAAAATCATCACTTTTTCCATTAATGAAAAAAAGCATTCGAATTTAAATTTGTATCGTATCAAATTCACTATTTTTTTAAATTCATAAATGACTATAACACGAAGTTTAAAAAAGGATATGGAAATTAAATTTGCTTCCAAAACCATTTCTTTTTCATTTCCAATCATGAAAGACGAAATTTAAATTTAAATTTTTATCGCATCAAATTTAGTATTTCTTGAAATTCATACTTGGCTATAACACGTAAAAATTAAATTTGTTTTAAAAATCATCACTTTTTTTCATTAATGAAAGACGAAATTTAAATTTAAATTTTTATCCCATCAAATTTAGTATTTCTTGAAATTCATAAATGTCTATAACACGTAAAAATTAAATTTGTTTTTCAAAATCATCCCTTTTTTTCCATTTATGAAAGAAGAAATCTGAATTTAAATTTGTATCGCATCAAATTTAGTATTTCTTGAAATTCATACATGGCTATAACACGTGAAAATTAAATTTGTTTTAAAAAACATCACTTTTTTTTTCATTAATGAAAGAAGAAATTTGAATTTAAATTTGTATCGCATCAAATTTAGTATTTCTTGAAATTCATACATTCACGTAAAAATTAAATTTTTTTTTAAAAATCATCACTTGTTTTTTATTAATGAAAGACGAAATTTAAATTTAAATTTTTATCCCATCAAATTTAGTGTTTCTTGAAATTCATACATTCACGTAAAAATTAAATTTGTTTTAAAAATCATCACTTTTTTTTTTATTAATGAAAGACGAAATTTAAATTTAAATTTTGATCCCATCAAATTTAGTGTTTCTTGAAATTCATACATTCACGTAAAAATTAAATTTGTTTTAAAAATCATCACTTTTTTTTTATTAATGAAAGACGAAATTTAAATTTAAATTTTTATCCCATCAAATTTAGTATTTCTTGAAACTTTTTTTTTCATTAATGAAAGAAGAAATTTGAATTTAAATTTGTATCGCATCAAATTCAAATTTTTTTTTCAAATTTATGAATGATGTAACATGAAATTTAATAAAGAATATGGAAATTTAATTTGTTTTCAAAACCATTTTTTTCTTCCATTCATGATTAACGAAATTTCGATTTAAATTTTCAGCTCTACAAATTCAATATTTTTCGAAATTCATAGCTGACACTAACATGAAATTTAAAAAAAAAAAAAACATAAAACTAAAATCTTACCTCTCATCTTCACTAAATCCTCTAAGTAAAACAAACCTCCAGCTTTTTCACGTGCACAACATCCAGAATCCGTCTAATAATTCCAATCACTCACAATACTCCTAAACGTAACAAAATTCAAAACCGGCGAACTTAATTCCACTCTTTTGTAAGAAAAACAACAACAAAATTCCTTCCAATGCAATTGGGATTCTTCCCTGACAAAAACCGAAGAAAGTCAGGGAGTCTTAAGAGAAAGGATGCTGCTCACTAACTGACCCTGTCTCCTTACCTTGAGCTCGACAAGAACTGATTGAAATAGCTTAGGAAAAAAAGCTCGTAAGCCGCCGCCGGCTTCTCATGAACGAGTAGCGCGAGTAAAATAGGAATGAAGAAGAAAAAGATGCTCCGGGCGGAGTTGTTAGGCTTCCTTTTTCTTTCTGAAGGGATTCCCTGGATTGGGTATCAATGCATTGGCCCTTGACAATGAAATGCGTGATTGTTTGCATAATGCTGGATGTATAGTTGAATCATTCAGGCACAAAATAATGATTTACATTAAATATATATATTCAAGATTTTTTTTCTTCTTTGAATTATAGTAAATTAGCATTGATTTATTTATTTTAGCATTTATCTGTTCTTCCCAAATGTTCGATTTACTTTCATGTACAAAACAAACAGAAATCGAAAACAATAAATGCAGGCAAAATTGGCAGGTTTAACACTTAAAAACAATGGCTTTTAAACCTTTTTTTTAAAGAATTGTTAAGTTATCTTTTAAAACCTAGGCTGGGGCTATTATAAGTATGTGTATTTTATAATATTTTTTATTTATTAATTTGTTTTTATTTATCGTTTTTACCATAAACCTTACCTTCTCTAATGTTCTCGTGAAATCCAAACATTTAAAAGAAACTAACCAAAGCACCTCTATTTAAAAATCATTTGATTAAAAGCATTGCATATGGTTAAATTGTTTAACCATCCATACTAAGAATAACAATTTACTTTAAATATTTGTATGAATTTTTAAAAAAATTAAAATGCCTTTTTGGCTGTTCTTAAAAAAATATTTTTGTTGTTCTTAAAAAAAAATATTTTTGCTGTTCTTAACATTACATTCTCCAATGGATTGCTGAACTTGAAAACTGAAGTGTAAATTCACAGTAATTCTTTTTTTCCTTTTCCTATAAGAACTATAAAAAAAAAAAATAATAATGAATTAACGTAAATATTTTTCGACTAATTTTCTGTTTGTTCTCGAGGCATTCTTAATAAATAAATAAATAAATAAATTTCACATAAGAACAAAAATAATTAATATAGAGTTGAACTTTCTGATTATTGTAGAAGCACTTTTATCACGCAAACAATATCACTAGATATTCTGAACACACAAAAATGATCCACATGCTTTTAGCTATAATCAGTATAAAATTATGAAAGCAATTACAGAATTTTCCTAAAAATAATTTAAAAGGAATTTTTTGACAAAAAGAAGATTACTTAATTATTTATGAGATGAAACCTATTAAATCGAAGCAAATCTGTTGGAGAAAAGGTTAAGAAGCGTTAGCAAACAGTGAAAAAATTGCATTTTTAAAAGATTAAAACGCTAGAAGGCTTTGGTATCTTTTAATTGAATATATTTTTACTTTTGAAGGACTCTTTTACAATAAAAAAATAAAATAATTACAAAATTCGAAATACAGTTACAGTTCGCATGTTAATCCTCTTACATTGAAAACCCACGAAAATGAGTGTAAAGTTCACTCACTCACAGCATTTTCTAAATAAAAGTGAATAGTTTTTAAAACATTTATTACAAGAAAACGGCTAAGGTGAAAAAAATGCAGTTTATCTAATAAAAAAATAAAATAAAATAATGTGGCTGGGCATAAATTTTTCCTCGCAGAGTTTCTATTTTTAGAGCAAAACTTTTCCAACAGATGACGCTATAAACAGTATACTTATCACAGAAATGTAACTGATAATCACATTTCGATTTTCTTAAAATGTCTACTATCATCTACAATCACATGTCGTAATCGTAAAACGAAGTACTATTTATTCTTAAATAAAAGAAAGTAAAATTAAAAGGGTGAAATGGGTTTACATTGCCATCTGTCGCAAAATGTTTGAACTAAAACCAGTTACTATGGGGAAAAATTGTATAGCTTGTCAAATAATTTTGGTGCAAAATTTTTTTATATTTTCTTACAGCAATCATTTTCATGTTATAAATTTGTGAAAATTAACAGTTTAACACAGGACACCCTGTATACATAAAGAAGATACTAATAGATTACTTATTTTGTACTGTGCTCAAAGTTATGAAAAGAAAACAAAAACATCACATCCTGAATATTTTTTGGTCTAATAATAAATTTTTAAAAAATGATAGATATTTTTTATTTTAAATATTTTTTATTTAGTTTTCAATTGTTAATCATAAACTTTTTTTAATGATCTATAAATATTTCTAGACGTTTTAATTAATTTAAAAAATTCGGCATTGTTCATCACGTAAATTAAACTAACCACTATTTCATTTTTTAATAGTATTTGTTGCAAAAATATTTCGTAGAAAATATTAAAATACTTTTGAATATTTGAAAAATTATGTTAAAGAGAAATAAATAAGTTTTAAGCGATTTGCTTAATTTCTTTTTCAGTTAAAATAACAGCTGTGTTTTGATTGTTATATTTGGACACATGCATTAAAACACTAAACGCCTCTTTATATAACTCTTTCAATGAGTAAAATACAAGTAATCAAGGGCTGCTGATTGTTAAGTATTTCAGCCAGTTAAACGTCAGACAGAAATTTTATTCTCTTACTTTTATTTTTAAACATTTAGAAGCAATAAAATATATATTTTTGAAGTACCTTCATAGGCTTAAATAGCAGAATAAATGTGCAAAATTGGCTCTTTTTTGTCAACTGGAAAAATATTTTTTCTTCCATAACTTAGTATGTATGTAGTATTTATAGCAGGGCTTCAAAATTATGTTGCTCATTATGCACGAGATATTTAAAAATTCGATCTGGAATGTACTTTCCACCATAACGTGCCCGGATGGCCGGACATGCAATTACTTTTTCGGAAATATCGAAATTTTGACTAGAATCGTTGAGACGCTGAATTGCTCATCGTCTTTCCAAAGAGAAAAAGAAAATCCTAAACGCTTTGATAAATTGCTAAACGCACCTTAATTGCTGCTTTACTTAATAACATAAATAAGAATTTATGAGACTAAATTAACTTTTTTTTTATAACTCTAGCCAAGTTTATACATAAAATACAATATAAATATACCAAGTATATATATTGTATTATAATTGATAATATCTATTGTATTTTAATTTAAGTATTGGTATGGTAAATATATCAATACATAATTATAAAACACAATATACCAAATTTATACAATATAAAAGTTGATTTATACTTTAAAAGTGTTGATAAAGATCTACAATTGGTAAAGTAATTTTTTAGTATATATTAATTAATAGTTGCATTTATATGTTTTCAATAATATGCATTATAAAAAGATGCTTGCACATCTAAATGTTTCATTCGAACATAAATCTTGTAGACTAACATGCCCAGCTGCTAATTTACAATCCAACGGCTTTTAACGACTCGCTAGATTGGTCGCAATTATAATGTAAGCTTTAATTTCTTTTAAAATTTGTTTTCGTTTCTTCATTTCTTTTAATTTTTTTTTTTTTCATTTGGGGGAGGGGTGCAGTTCTCAGAGCCCTATCTGCAGTCTATCTAGCTTATAGTCAAATCCGACCTTTCATCTGTGAAGATCATTCTTTGATTTCAGTTGGGTACAACGGCAATATATCAACCTTCCACCGGGGTCTTAACCCTTTGACGACCAGTCACAAGTCTTCGTATAACTATGTGGATGGTTTGAAACTGTTTCCATAATGATAAAATGACAGTCGCCGAAGAAAAGATCAGCATGTAAGATAGACTGTCCTGCTTCAATACGTCCGACTGCACATCAGCGCAGTCTAGGAAACGAGTTTAGCTTGAATAAACAGTTAAAGGATGTTCTTAACACCTTTTATAAGCATTTAAAGTGCAACTTCTGTAAACTTTCACAAAGCCAGCTCCCAACACTTCTGCATATTTCTTGACGAGGAACCGTGATTAGCTTGTTATCTAACTTATTTGCATACTTCCTCTGCAATAAGTTGCAGCTTCTCCAATTCAAATCGTCCTCCAGAAATTAAAATTTTTTTTCTCTCCTTGCTTTAATTTGCATTTATCATTTATTGCTTAACGCATTCTCTTTTTCTGAGTTTAATTTTCTTTCAGACACAGTTGATTATTTTTCAAATCTTGGTCGTCATTCATTTTGTTACGATTAACACATTTAAAAAAATTGTTTACATAACATTATGATAATTAATTATTTTATTAACAAAAGTCTTTCTGTTTTTAAAAGAAATATTGATTTCAGCTAAAAATAAAAAAAATATGAATGAGAAAGAGAATTACGGGGAATGGAGCAGGGGATTAGCCACATAATTCATTAAAAATTTAACACAAGTTATTGCAAACGATATGCTTAAACTTAAAATCTTAAATGAAATATGAATTTTATAAAAAATATTAATGACTTCAAGTTTTAAAAATTATGTTTTTCAAATAAGAACTGAAAAAAAAATTTTTTTAATAAATTTCGATTTAAATCAAATTAATTTTATTTATTTGCAAACATTTACAGTAGAATTTTTAAAAGTGAGCAGATGAGATCGATTTCTCAGTATAAAACATTCGACTAGTCATAAAACATAAATTTTAAGAAAGTATTTATTTATTGCCATAATTTTGCTTAAAAAAATGATGCTCGTTGGGTTACTACAAAAAAACCAGGACTTCCATAATATAATGAAAAAGAAATTATACGGAAAAATTTATTATTTGATGTCCAATGCTGCCATCTGTGAGATTTAATAAGAGTAAAAAGAAAAGATTTAATAAATATTCAAGCTTTTCATATTTCTTTATAAATTATTTTGTATTTTGCAGTATAAAAAATTTTATGATGCAGTCCTTAATATCCTTTTCAACTTTCCTACATAAAGATATTTAAATTTAATGATTAACAGAATGTAAACAATGTAATAAATCGTGTCATATTAATAAGATTAAGCTCTTATCATATTAATTTTTGATCATTAGTGAATCAGATAATATCGTTAAATGTTTTTCCTATTGAAAAATAAGTACGATATGATGAAAAAATTGCAAAAAAAGAAAATATATGATTCCTCAAATTGAATTTAATGACAAAAGTAAAAAAATTAAATAATAATAAATAAAAAAAAGAAAGAAGGTTGATGATT